TGAAAAATGTCTTGGAACTAAATTTGACAAAAATGAGTCTTTGCTTAGTGTTGAACAATCAATTGTTTTGCCTTCCAAAAAATTTTCAAAAGAAAGTGTTTTCAAGTCAAGTGTCAAAAGGGCATGGAAGCCTAAAGATTTTGTTGATCAAGGACCATCAATTCCATTTTAACCAAATCTAACAAGTTCTTTAGAGAATAGTTTGTTGGGTGGGGTTCAAAGCTCTTTTCACCCCATTAAGGAGGGGATGCACACTAAGATCTTTGATCCGGGCTAAAAGAGCCCAACGTCTTGCTAGAGACGTTAAACACTAGTGCTTCGTAAGGTTTTCCAACCCTATTCCTCCCTCATTTCTATTTTACTTTCTTTTCTTGCGTCGTCTAGATACAATCTGGGATTCTATATGTTGTTTAAGACTTTGATAGGGAATGCATGCTCTTTCATCTCCAAATTAGGCATTTAGTGCCTGTTCGATCGATCGCAAGAGATATTCGATTGATCGAACATCATCTTTGTATATTTTCATCTCTCTATTCTATCGTTTTCATCTCTCTCTTCTATCGTTCAGATTCTCTGCATATTTCATCTCTCTATCCACCGTTCGAACTCCTTCTTCGATCATTCCAAGTCTCCCTCGATCGATCTAGTTTTCCCTTGGATCGATCTCAGTTCTATACTTAGAAAATTTTTGAATCTCTGAAAATTTCATCTCTCTGTCTATCGCTCGAAGCTTTCTGCAAGTTTTTAGTTCTTGGATTGATCGAGTTCCGATCGATCATTCTTCGATCGATCTGAGTTTTTCCTTCCGTTGACTTTGACTTTTTCAAATTCAATTTTAAAAATAATAATAATAAAAATATATTTTTTTTCAACAATCCAAAAAAAAATTCAATTTTCAAAATTCAAAAATTTCAAAAATATTTTGTTGTTTTGTAGGTTCGATCGATCTGAGCACCTTCATGATAGTTTTTAAAAAATGACCCAAGAGTCATTTGGATTGTTCATTTCATCAATCCAACGCCCTCTCTCCCTCTCCCGACGCTTTCCTTCGTCTTCCCCATCTTCGGCGAGACTCCGACAAGGTCCCAAGCTCATCTTCTCCATCTCCGATCTCATCTCTCTTCTCTTTTCATCTCTCTTCTCGGATCTAGGTAAGTTCAAGCTTCCCTTTATAATTTTGATGTTGATTCATGTGTTCTCATGTTGCCATGTTTATATTTAAGCTTTCCATACTGATTTTGTTGCCATTTTTGGGTTTTGCAAGCATAAGTATATATATGTATATATGTGTATATATAGTTTTTATTTTTGAATTTGATTCGGGGGTCACGTGCCGTTTTAAGTGACCATTTGTGCATTATTGAGGTGTATAGGGGGTCACGAGTCTTGAAGTGACCATTAGAATGCGCCCCGTGTCTTCCATGTCACGAACGGGTGACTTTTCATTTCTCAGCAAATTCGATCGATCACACAAATGCCCTAATCGATCAGGACACGATCGATCCAATTCATGTCATGATCCATGCATGGATCGATCACATTTTTCTATGATCGTTCGAACTTCACTATTTTGCATATTGATGCCCCTGTACCCTCTCTTGTGTCTATGTTATTGTATCTATGCCCAATGCCTGTATTTTCCACATTGGTTGCATTCTGTTCTTGTCATACCTAGCATGTTTCACATTATTTGATCATTCACTGTTTATACTTGGCTGCATTACCACTTGCATAGATATATTCATGTGTTCTATTATATGTTGTCTATCTTGATATGACAAGCATGCTTCTATCTTTTGTGCTTTCAGTTCTGCATCTTATATATCATTTCCTGTTACTGACTACAATTGCAAGTGTTCTTTTTTTTTGCAAGCTATGACTAGGTTCAAGACCACGGCTAATCGGACCTATGACCGCCGAGTGAGGCAGCGGATAGAGGAGCCTGAGGAGCCAGCTCCTGCACAGTCCGAGCATTCCTCCTCTTCTTCCTTTCCATCTTCTTTATCTCAGGAGAGTGAGCCCACGCCACCTACTTCACCTGCTCCAGTGCCAACACCAGCACAGCCTGGTATTACCCGAGACAGGGTGGCATGGAGGTATGCACGCCTTTCAGTGGCGCATGATTCTATTTTTTATGAGGACTTCTTTGCTCGGTCGATCATGACCAAGTGGTCGTATGATGAGATCTACCGCCACCATCTTTCTCCTATCTTGGCACCAGTTGCCAATCTAATTTACCTAAGGCTTGTTCGATTGTTCTACCAGAACCTCCGGCCAACTCCAAGTAACTTGGCCGAGTTACGGACTACCATCGACGGGCATCTCATCCGCATTACTGTCGAGACATTAGCGACAGCTTCTCAGTGCCTACATGCCTGCCCTCCGGGCATTGATTATCCGATTTTACAGCGGCCTTCATTTGCAGATATGGCCACAACTGTTCATGGCACCATTACTGCCGCCGATACTTATGCCACTCGGATCTACTTGCCTGACAGCATGTAGTTCTTTGATTCGGTTTTATACCGAAATGTTTTTATGGCTAGGCACAAAATCCAGAGGTGGGCAGATTTCCTAACAGCTTTATATACCATCTATGCAGGGCATTGGTTCTCAGTTCCTACACTCTACTAGAGTGTCATGATGAAGCTATATACTAATTTTATCAGCAAGAGTAACCTAAAGCGGTCCAAGTTCCTTCCCTATGCCTATTTGATTACATAGCTCCTCCGGGACCAGAACTATCCTTTTGACCCGGAGGAAGACATTGAAATTGGGGCCTACCATTACAGGAAGAAGGACTAGAATAAGAGGTATAATGCTCTTATTAAGAGTCTAGAGGTAGAGGCAGCCCAGGCAGCGGAGGATGCGGCAGCTGAGGAGGAAGCAGAGGCAGCAGCAACAGCAGAGGCACCGGTGGCAGAGATAGCTCATATGGATATTGACCTGGAGCTAGTTCCTCCAATGGGGTCACCACATCACTCTTCGGAGCAGAGCCATCATTCGCAAAACCCAAACGAGCATCAGTCTCTTAATGACTCCAGATTGTTACGTTGGGATGATCCAGTCATTGCTGACACTCAAGCTCAGACAGACAGTTTAGGGGAGCGTATCCAGTCACTAGAGGATACAGTCGTCTCCCTCAGAGCAGATGTGACCACTCTCCGCACGGATGTCACGACAGCGCTGCAGGATATTTTTAGATATATCCGGGGTTCCCGCCCTGCCAGACCGTCATCCTCTGCCTGACCTCTCTCTCTCTTTATCTCATTTTTATGCTTATGTTTTTAGACTGATACTTTGATACTCTTATTCCATTTTTGTGGCTAGTCTGTTGGCCCGATTACTGTGAGGTACATTATATTGTTTTTATTTTTAGATATTATGGATGTTTTGATCTTCTATTGATATATCTGTTGATGATTGACTCTATTATCAGATGCATCCCAGTGACTTCAGTGAGAGAGTGCAGCCCATATTTTTCAGGACCATCCTTACCCTTCTGTCTCTTTCATTTACTTTCCTACTTGCACTTGCATGCCCACTTTGCACCATTATTATCCCATTTGTTATTTGATGAAGTTTTCTTCTAGTGCCATCTTTTCAGGACCACAGTGAATAATTTTGGGGGGGTTATACTACCCACTTCGGATACTTGTGCCCCGACTATTCATTGCCAAAGCTATACTGGTTTACTCTTTCATCTCTCTTTTGTTCTCTTTGCACATTGAGGAGATTGTGCCATTTAAGTTTGGGGGTAATGTGTGTTCTTTGCATTCAATTCAAGATTTTGAGCATGACTTGTGTATTTGAGAGATTTTCTATAATTGGTTCATGATTAGTTATGATTTTGATCTTTTGAGGACTATATTACTTAGAATTTAAAAATTGCTTGACTTGAGAGTTCAATACTTCTTGTATGCTTTGTGAATGTCATTTAGGAGTAAATTTTTCAAAAGATTGATATTATGCTTGCACTTGTGGTCCACATCACCTTGATTTTGTGATTGTTTTCAGATTCACTCTAGGATTCTACACTAGCACAGACACACACCAACATTCATTTGTGGGGTACATGCTTTGTTGATTATTGATTTAGTTATATCCCAATTGAGCTAGTAATGCATTGAAAGCTTTCATTCTTGACAAAGGTGGATAACAAACCCTTTTCACTAAGTAGCCGAGATTCTAGCCTCATCAAGTACTGAATTTCTCACACCGAAAGGTGGAGAGCCCAAACTCTAGGTTAATAACTTGATAAAAAATAATAATAATAATAAAATAAAAATGTTACAAAAACAAATAAAAAAGTGAGGACTTCTCCCAAAAGGTAAGAAGTGGAAAATAATTAAATGAAAGTTGTTTTGATTTCACTACAACAATTATGCTCTTCACCGACGCTCAAAAACGTTGGTGAAAAAAAAAAAAAAAAAAAAAAAAAACACTAATAATTCAATTACTATCACTTTACCCGCGTTCATAGAAAAGCGCTTCTTAAAAAAGCACTGGTAAAGACCCATTACCAGCGCTTCTTGAGGAGCACTGGTAACTACCCTATCCCAGGGCTTCTAAATGAGCGCCGGTAAATGGTCTATACCAATGCTTCTTGAGCGCTTCTTGAGGATCGCTCATAAATGCCTTTACCAACGCTTCTTAAGGAGCACTGATAAATATCTTTACCAACACTTCTTAAGAAGCGCTGGTAAAGCGTCGTTTTATATTCTTTTTTTTATTTTTTATTCTTTTTATTTTTACCTTTATTGCTATTTTTGGAAAAATATCTTTACCAAGTTAAAGCTGCTAAAATGTCATCCAATATAACACAAGTTGGCAACATAAAAATACCATCCAAATAGTTTTTACATAATACAACAACTTAAATTGCTGCAATATGAAAAATACCATCGAAATTGTCTACTAATAGATAAAGCTGGTAACTGTCAACCAAAACCCAAAAAATGTCAATCAAAAAGCCAAATGTCTACTAATACAACCACAAGTTAACCTGCCAATATGAAAATACCATCCAAATTGTCTAGATAAAACTATTAAATGTCACACAAAAAGAATTAAGAATTTTTGACAAATGTATAGTAGAAGTTTTTCAAAAAGAACCCATCCAAGGGGAAGGAAATTCAGAAAGCACAGCCACGACCCCATCTTCAGCTTCACCTTCAACAACTCTACTCTTCTTGCCCATTTGATTTGAATTACCCTACATTTTTTTATAAATTCATGAAGTGCACATTATAATAAATGAAAATTTAACATACAAGAGAAATTAAAGTTCATAACCTTAACTGAATTGGCATCATGGCTAGAAAATGAATTTTGGGATACTCTAGGAGCATTTAAAAAATCAGAACCCTTCAAAATAACAAAACAAAATACATGAAATCTTGGCATAAGTAAATGTATATTTAGTAAAGAGTAAAACTAATAATAAATATACCTCTCCACTACAATTTTGTTGTTGCATCTGCTTTAGCATAGCCACCTCCTATTGTAAATTTTCCAACTTGTCGTCATAGTTGGCTCGTAAATTTTCCAACTTGCCGTCATAGTTGGCTTGCATTTTTGAAATGGTCTCCTACAACTCTACACATGCAGCACGTGCCGCCTCCTCAAATTTTTTGGCATTATTAATCAATTCAGCTTTACTAAGAGAGGGCCCCAAAACATCGCTTGGTGTAGGCCCCAAGCCAAGCATCCACACACGACCAGTTCTCTCTTGTCCCCCCACAACGGAGAACAAATCATTGGAACTGCCAATAGGCGAGTCAAAATAACTTTTTTGAAGACCTTTTACACTTTCCTGCAAAAAATAATAATAATAATAATAATAATAATAATAATAATAATAATGAATGTATAGAAAATAAATTAAATAGAATGCTTCGTGTCCAACATTTCTAATTGTAAAATAAATTAACTATAGCAGCTAGAAAATTCATACTGAACTTTTGAAATAGGGAAGAATCTTAACATGATTTTTTTTCCTAAAGGAGAAACAAAATCACTAAGTTAAAACATACTGAAATTTTATTCTTTGACAAGTGAAATTCAGTTCCTTGAAGCAACAAAACTCATTAAAACCATTTCAATGTTTGTAAACAAAAACACAGAGAAAATAAGGGATTGTTAATTTTAACTACAATGATAAAAAATAAAAAAAATAAAAATAAAAATAAAAAAAGAGGGATGCAAAGGAGATCTTTCCAACTGTTTTTGTTGTTTTGCTTGTCCACTACCATAAAAATCGTGTCGTATATGCCATGCAATTTTAATACACTCATCAATGTTTCAAAATCAAGAAAGGGTGCCAAGTGCAATTTTAAAAGATGGTCAAACATTTCCAACTCACATAGTATTAAAGAGTATCTTTTCAATATTAAGTGAACATTTTTTAGACCATATGTGTGTGTGTGTGTGTGTGTGATATGTAATTCTAACATTTATAATTTGAACACATGAAACAGCAAAGAAGCACAATAAACCAGGTATTTGAGGATGACAAGCTAGGGGATGTGACTAGAGAAGCCAGAGACAGATTGAATGAGAGGCTAAGAGCACAGAGGAAATCTGAAACCAAAAGGTACATCAATATTGCAAATGTATATCTTAATCTTATGCTTCTATATATATGTGGCGCATGTCAGCAATGACATTATTATTATTTATTCTAACATACACCTTTACAGTTGATGATGCGAAATGAAACTAATTGATTAAGTACTTCCAAATTAATTTGTTTTTATATTTAAAAATCAGTATCTTTTCCAATAACTTCACTAAGCTTATCTACACTTAGCGTTGCTAAGAAAAAAGGATCATAAAGGGCAGCTGGCTTGTGAATTAAAAACTTATTATAAGCTCTGCTGAATATTGAATACTGTCTGATGAATACTGTCTGATTTTGACTTGGACTTCTGGGATACTCCTAAGATTCTCGCTGAGAAAATATAAGAATAGCATATGAGATCTGTAGTCTGCTTCGATTGCTAACTTGTTGATTTCTCTTCTGAGGTCTGCCGGAAGACTGAGTAAAGTTGCTGGAACTTCTACTCCTGTTTCGCTGGCTCTCTCTCTCAATGCTAACATTGATACTGGACTAAATCAATTTTTGCTTAATTAAATACATATATCAAAAGTAAAATTAAACAAAGCCGACAAAAAATATTTTTAACTTAAATGACACCCTTTCTACTTGTACTAAATGAGAAAGTACAAGTAGGCAAGGATTTGAGTGTGTTGAATTGATTGGAGTGAGTATAAGATAGTGAAAAATCTTACTCATGAAATGCTGTTATGAGGAGTCATAGATAGATGCTGCCAGAGAGAGGTGTGTTATTGGCAGAACTTAAGAGAACAGAGAAAAGAAATAGTTTCCAAACTGGCACATGGTTGCCAAATGAATGAGAGTGAGCAGAAACTGGCCTTTTTATATTCACTTATCTAAAACTGTGTGTTTCGATTCTCTTACCTGTCATTCTATTTTTATTTTTCTTAACAACAAGACAACTCTTTTGAATCCAAGGTAGGAGGTTTGATTCTGTTGTTATTAAAATATACTTATTCCAATGCATGGCAAAAAGTAGATAAGCCCCTTCTTCACCAAATTTGGAGTATAGAGAGAGACCTTGGAAGCATGACAGCACATGACATGAAGTGGGGATTCAAGATGACCAGTCAAAATCATAATTATAATGATTAAGGGTTAGTTCTTGAAAGAGGGTCTTCATGGTTTTTCATTTTCTATATGCATACATATATATATATACATATATATATATATGTATGTATATATATATATGTATGTATATATATATATATATGTATGTATATACTTTTGAATGCAATAGCATGTTAGGATTTAACTTTTTTGACTTTCCCCCTAAGATATTGAAGAATAGGAAAGAGTAGGAGAAGAATCTAGGGGGGAATAGTTGCAGAAAATTCTGAGCAAACTTAGATATGGTCCCAAGTCTCAATCTTCTTCGGCACCATGGGTCCAAGGAAAGAAAAAAACTTAGATATAAATAACCAGCAAACATCAGATATTTTGTTTTAATGGAAAAAAAAAAAAAAAAAAAAAAAAAAAAAAAAAAAAAAAAAAGTGGGGCAAGATGACATGAACCCTAAATTGGCACAAATTTCATGATCTAAGAAGATTATCACAACTAGTTACAACTGAGGCAACCGTTGCTTCTCAACCGTTGGATGGTCTGGGGACACGGTAAGGATTCAAACTATATATCCAATGGCTGAGAGACGACGATCATGCAAGTCACAATTGTCACTATATATTATTAACTACAGTTTGAAGGAGTGATTAACATTGAAGAAGGAAATGAACAAAAAATTCAAAAAAATAAATAAATAAAGAAGAATCAACTTATCTCTCAGGTCTAATTTAAAACTAACAGTAATGTGTAGAGAAGAATCAACTCCTAACCTTTAGGCGGTCTAACACTATGATTATCATCAGTTCCAACCTTAAAAATGAATCAACATTTTTGTAAATAGGCAGCTGGTTTTCTATTTATCTTGTCTTGGACTCTTATTTTTAATGTAGGGCATTATACATTTCGAGGGAATGACTATTACCTTTTGTAAAAATCTTTTTTCTTTCTCAAGAGTCTTCCTTGAGATTTTTGGAAATTGAAAGCATGATCCCTCAAGCAACATATAGAGATTTGTGGCACAGATAGTGTTTGTCTCCCACATAATGCCCCTTTCCATTTGGCAATGCAAGAATTTTATAAACATGTTGGGTTCAGATATTTCAGTTTATGAAATTAATTAGTTCTTAGTCACTAAACGACCATGCATGCACAATGCAAATTAACACAAACAACAAACAACAAATAGCAAATACTTCTCCTCCACAACACAAATCAATCAACAAGAAACCTCCACAAATTAACACAAACAACAAACAACAAATAGCAAATACTTCTCCTCCACAACACAAATCAATCAACAAGAAGCCTCCCCATACAATGATCCCATACTCCCATGCTTTTCAACAAATACAAGAAAGTAAATTGCCTCCACACGGGCCGATGATAAACAATGAAATTAAAATGCCTCCACACGGGCCGATGATTTAAAAATTGGTCACTTCAAGGCAAGTGACCCCCTAATACACCGCAAAGAGTTTAAAAATTGGTCACTTCAAGGCATGTGACCCCCTTTTTGCAAATTGGAAGCATGAAAACTTACAATCATCTCTAAAGCAGCAGCATCAGTAGCATTGCCATCCTTATTTATATGTGTGCGAATGAATAAATCTACACGAGAAAGCTGAATACCTTCTTTTTCCTCAATCTATAAAAGAAACATAAGACATTGTGATAAATATTATTTACCACTAACATTTATAATCATTCAACGGCATAAGAATTGAAATAATTTATATTGCCAAAACTTCAACTAACCTCGGCAAAAACACATGCAAAGCTTTTTGTCCCTGTAATATGCAACATTATCTGCTTCCCACGACGTTCTTTGTTTTTTTCGCTGACCTCCTACAAAAAGTGAGAAAAAGTAAACATTCTTTGAATAAAGAACATTCCACCTAAAATAATGACTAAAAGCAGGTAAATTATAAATTCAACTCATTGACTTTAAACAAAATTGGTAGATGGAGGATTACCTTCGCCATAGGCATACCCCAATGCCTAACCAAAAATTCCCAATGCTCCTTCTCAACATCAGGTGGTGGGTTTGCCAATCTTTCTGCATTTGTATCCCGAACAGAGTAATATTCACTTTTTAATTCACACTTGTACCCCCTCCATTTTGTTCTGATAGAGGATAATGTCCACTGTTTTGACATGATTCCCACATCATGCTTTCCCTGAAAATGTGATAATTGCTGCATGTTAATCCACTTTTTTCCATCAAAATTATTTTAATGTCATTGAAGGGTTTTACCTTTACAATGTTCCATATGTCCTCTTTAAGCCGTTTAGGCATCTCCTACCAAGTTTTGTAGCACAAAGGAGCTAATCTAGCACTCCGGGCAAGTGTTCCCAAATAATTAGTATATGTACCACTTCCAGGCCGATCGGCTATCCAAACTTATTAACCCTAAACAAAAATTAACAATTGTAGATGTTTAATACAAAAATAAAGATAGAAATCATTTTTTCTCCTTCATATTGAATATAGTCTAATTATGTAAACTATATAAGATGATCTCCATATATATGTACCTTAATGGTATTAAGGTTGTCGCGTTTACGACATTCTTGCGTCGTGTCGGGCCCCGTCTCTTCTTCGCCAGTGGTTGGGATGATTTTGAAGTTGAAGCTTCGGTATTTTCTTCACTCACTTTTTCCACTTCACTAACCGTTCGTTTCATTGTCAGTTTATTATTTATCCTTCTTGCAGAAGCAAACAAAAAAGTGAGAATTGATTTAAGAGAATGCAATGAAATTGTTAAAAAAAGGCGGTGCACAATCTAGGTAAAACTAATAAAAAGAAATAACAAATACCTCAAAACTTTAGGGTGTTTTTGGTTGTCCAATGGAAATTATATAAAAACATTCTGTTTTGGTAATGTAATACTGAGACATGGTTGTTATGACCAATAAAAGATTCAAACTAGATCATTTAGTAAAATCCTTGATTGCACTTATACAATAATGTGCCAAGAATAGATCAAAACATATTAAAAATATATAAGCACACAAAAAAACTAAATAAGTTTTCATGGGAAGCATACATGTGCATGCTACAAAATATGATACTGAAGATGAAATATTACATGTGCATGATACAAAATATGATACTGCAATATTATTGTCAAAGCTGCATATATATATATATATAATCAATCAGAGCTTATAATATCCAAAAAACACATTTGACATCCAAAAAAGACGTTTCACATCCATTGAGTAGTAGATATGGAATCATCCTAAATCTCATCTTCATCAACATCATCATCATCATCTTCATCAACATTATCATCTTCTTCTATAGTTGTTCCAAGCAAATCAGCTCTTGTCCAAAACGTGCTATCATCAAGTACATCCAAGTTGTTATCCACATGTTGTGCATGAAATGGCTCCAGAACTTGATTCAATATCATGCTCTGGCATTTCATAAAGGTTCGCGGTTTTGCGCCAATAACCACTTTCCACTCATTGTCAATGGGATCATCAACATAGAATACTTGTTCAGCTTGAGATGCTAGAATGAAAGGCTCATCTGTTCCCAACGATCGTGACGAATTAACAAGCTTAAATTGAAAATCATCCTCCTTTATTCCTCTACCCTTTGAAAAGACATCAAACCAATCACACTTAAACAATACCACCTTCAATGATATCAGTCAACACACCATAGTACTAAATATCTTCTGTAACGGGATTTTGATCGGTGGCTCTTGCATAACTAGATGTCACTGCCTTTATGACAATTCCACTGTTCTGAGTCTTTCTCTGTCTCTCAACTTCTCTAACATGAAACTTCAAACCATTGATCACAAACCTCTTAAACCGTTTTGTGACAGGGTTTGGACCTTGTACTAGCCACCTCAGCTCATTAGGAATTGGATCCTCATTATCTCACAACTGTATTCATAAAGATATAACTTATATAATAAAGTAATTTTTCATAAATCTATAATACACTAACACATACACAAAAGTTAAATACTTACACGTTCATTAAACCATTTGTGAAATAAATCATGAGACATCTTCTCTAATTGTCTTGGTTTTAAATAGCGCTGCCTCATCTTAAGAAATCTCTTATGTTTTCTGCATTGTGAAAATATAATGTTAAACATATTGTCTATTAAACTAAATGAAGTTTGACACGAATATAATCATGTAATATATTGGGAAACTTAATCTTACTCAATGAATGGTTCTGTTCCATTATAATTGAACAAAACATACCGATGAGCTTGCACCAAAGTTATCTCATCTAGATTAATGAACTCTTGTTTTCCCAAAGCATGACCTTGTGCACCACAATCATTCACTTCCTCTCCATCAAACACATTATCAGAATTCCTTTGGGACCTATCGAATCTCGTCTCAATATTTGTCAGATAACGTGAACAAAAAGTCAAGCATTCTTCCGCTAAATAACCTTCTGCTATTGAACCCTCGGGATGACTTATATTTCGCACGTAATTTTTCAGAGTCATAAGGTACCTAAATATAAAAAATGAAATTTAATAATATTAGAATTATTGAAAAATAAACATAAACTATACATGAAAATCCATTAAAAATCTTGACATCTCACTTGGATACATCCAACGATATTGCACTGGTCCTGCAATCCTTGCCTCGTGAGCCAAGAGAACAGATAAATGTACCATTATGGTGAAGAAGGCAGGTGGGAATATCATTTCGAACTGATAGTATTAAAACAATCCGGTGTTCCAATTTATCTAAGTTTTCAGGCCGAAGAGTCTTTGAACACTGCTCTCAATAAAAGTTACTGAGCTCGACAAATACTGAGCAAACATTCTTTGGCAATCCTACGAATGGCTATGGCTAGAAGTTGTTGCATCAAGATATGACAATCATGACTCTTCAACCCACTAATTATACGCTCTTTCAATTTCACACAACGTGAAATGTTAGATGCATACTCATCTGGAACTTTAACATTTTTCAACACTCGACATAATGTGCTCTTTTCAAGTGAAGATAACGTGAAACTTGCAGGAGGCAAATAAAATTTGTTTGAACCACGTTCTTGTGGGTGAAGTGAAGGCCTTACTCCCATATCCGGTAGGTCAAGTCTCGCTTTTAATCCATCCTTCCCTTTCCGCTCATTCATCAATGTGTAAAGTATATTGTCACATATATTTTTTTTCAATATGTATCACATCTAGATTATGACGCAGAAGATTATACTTCCAATATGGTAATTGAAAGAATATACTCTTCTTTCTCCAATTGTGCATCGTATCTTCATTCATTGTATGCACACTCTTTCCAAATGGTGGAAATTCAAGGCCCTTTAATTCATGTAACACTTGTGTTCCAGATAACATAGGCGGTGCACACCTTACCTCTTCAATGCAGTCAAATGCTGATTTACAATGCCTATATTTATGATCTTTTGAAAGAAAACAACGATGCCCATCATAACATATTTTCTTGATATTTTTTAAGTAATGAGAGCAAGTGTCTTTGTTACAAGTAGGACAAGCCAAATACCCTTTTGTACTCCAACAGGATACCATTCCATAACCAGGAAAGTCAGAAAGAGTCCAAAACAATGCTGCATGCATGCAGAACATCTCATTTCTTGAAGCATCATAAGTTTCCACCCCATCAACCCACAACTCTTTTAATTCCTCTATCAAAGGCTGCAAATAGACATCAATATCATTTTCAGGTCCCTTAGGGCCAGGTATCAAGGTTGATAGAATAAAATATGGTTGTTTCATGCACATCCATGAGGGTAAGTTATACACGAGTATCAAAACAGGCCATGTACTGTATGCAACACTCATGGTCTTGAATGGGTTGAACCCATCAATTGCTAATGCAAGCCTGACATTCCGAGGATCACTAGAAAATGTTGGGTATCTTTTATCAAAGCTATCCCATGCTGGGGAGTCAGCAGGATGTCTCATTAATCCATCTTTGATTCGCTCTTCTGCATGCCATCTCATAGAAGAAGCTGTCTTACTTGACATGAACAATCTTTGGAGTTTTGGCTTCAAAGGAAAATATCATATAACTTTAGCAGGAATTTGTTTATTTGTTGATGAGGATGATGTACTCGTATTGCCCTCAGTTTCTGAATCAAAAACTTTCCACCTTGATTTGCCACAATTATGACACATTTCATCATTAGAGTGCTCCTTCCAATACAACATACAATCAGAGGGACATGCATGAATCTTATCATATTTAAGACCCAGGTCACCAATCATCTTCTTTATTTCATTGAAGGTTTTTGGTAATGTCTCGCCATCTGGTAATCCATCTTTTATCACTTTTAACAGATCAGTGAATGATTTGTCACTCTAATTATATCTAGTCTTCACTAAATATAGCTTCACTACGTAAGATAACTTTGAAAACTTTTTACACCCAGGATATAACTCTTGGTTTGCATCTTCCAATAGCCTATAAAATTTATCTAACTTTTCATTTGACACCCTTCGATGCTGATCATTTTCTCCGTTGGTCTCTTCCCTCCCTTCAGTTGGAACACCAAAACCCAAAACCCTCGTGTAAGAGTCCATGCATATCATCATTTTTGTTTGCATTGATATCCTCATGTGTTGTGTGTACATCAGTTTACCGAGAAGATGACGGCACTTCTTCCCCGTGATAAAACCAAGTTGTGTATGACTGAATAAACTTATTGCATACCAAATCATCTCTCACCTCAGAATGTATTTTTTTTATACAATTGCCACAATCAGTACAAGGACAATATATACGCCCATCCTTCCCAACTCGCTCAAATGAGATATCTAGAAACTCTTCAACTCCACGCAAATATGCTGAACTTAACCTATTTGCATGGTAATGCATATAAAAAATTAAATTGAGTAAATTGTAGTTATTAGATTAAGTAACCTAATCAAACTACAATCTGAAGTACCTTGACTAAGTTATCCAACTTCTATCCATGATATTACATCAAGTACGCTAAATAAAATATACAGCAAGATGATATGCCAAAGTTGATTTCCCTATCATGCAACAAGTAGAATATATTGATCAACAAATGCAACTCAAAAGGAATAAATTTTAAATGAATAGATAAAAAAGTAAAAAGCAGGAAAAGCAATCATCAATACCGTCAAAGAATGCAAGCCAATCAAATGCGAGTTATCCCCTTCTTGATTGCTAATGCAAAGGAAACCGGGACGAAGGCTAAATTATAGTGGGTCACACTGTCAGCAATAGCAAGCTCAATGTCTTGTAGCATACAAAAACAAAAAATTTAGTTCAAGTAGAAAGCTAACAAGAGACCAAAATTGTATTTGACAAAAAAAAAAAAAAAAAAAAAAAAAAAAGAGGAAACCAAAATTGTGTGTGATAGAGCTTCATTGCATGCTTCTTTAGATTTAGCTCATTTTTAATGTTCTTATATAGATAATCTTCCCCCTAATACACCGCAAAGAGCTTCATTTGTTTGCCACCTATCAAATGAGGCAAACAAATGCAGTAATAATTAAAAGATATATAATTATACAAATAATAAATATAATTATTAGGTAATTATATTTATTATTTGTATAATCATAACTAAAGGCTACATTTAGTTACCAATCAGGTTCAAATGCCAAGGAGCTTCAAAAGGAAGCAAAAATAAAAAATAAAAATAAACAACAAAAAATTTGATACATCCAATCTGATGAGGAAAGATACAACGGGCATACTAAGTCATTTGGCATATCCAATCAATCCACACACACTATTGGCATATCCAACCAATCCACACACACTATTCAAGTTGATGATAGGTTGCTCTTACACCACCAAAGATGAAACAATTAGGTGTCATGCAGTTGACTACATTGAAATCCTTAGGCTTTTAGGTTGTTCTTAGTTCAAGAACTCGTACTGTTCATAATAGTACCAATCATTACTATAATCAAGGACAACAAAGATGATGATCCTATGGAAATTTTATTCAATTAT